TAATATAATATAATATTGTTGTAATTTTTAATTATATTATAACTAAAATGTTACTATTTTTTATGTAATATTATAACATGTTTTATAATATTGTAATTATATTAATTATTTTAATAATATTATTATATTCTATATCATTATTATATAATATGTTATTTAATAATAGTTTTGTTATTTTATATTAAATATAATAATAAATATACATTATATTGTAATTATATATATTATATTATAATATAATATAATATAATATAATATAATTTTTAATTATTCACAATAAATTAATCTCATAATTTATCAAATATTATTAAACAATTATACTTATAATTTACTAAATATTTAATTATTTTTTATAACAACTATTTATTAAAAATAATTTTTTTTGAAAATTACAACACTGCCGAACTAACCCATCGTCTCTCTTTCTTCTCCTTCTTACTGTATCGAGCAAAAAGAAAAATCCCTAAAGTACTCCTTTAGCTGCCTCCCCTCTGCACCTTCTTGTTTGTATCTTGTGGGGTAGGTGGGTTGGCGAGGTTCGTCAGTCTCTGATTGCGAACACGGAATCTCCTGCAAGCAAACCGACGAGTGCTTCCCCTTCAGCGGCGCTCTGGTTCGGCCCTCCAAAGGCGACAGAGTCCACAACCTGATCAAGCAAAGATTCGTCCTGAGTTTGGTTCCCACAATTGGAGCGAAGGCGATTCGCGATCGGAGTTTTGGGTTGTCTTTCGAATCTCTTCTCTTTGATACTCCTCCGTATCTAAGATCTATGTTCAATTTCGACTTAGGAATCTGCAGATTGTTTCTTCACAGATCCAAACCATGGATGATATTTTGGTCATGGGTTTCTTCATTTATGCAATAATGTGATATGGAGATTTAAAACAGCAGTAATTTTTTTCTGTGTTGCAAATCAAAGCACTATCAAACAAGCAAAGAAGATGAAATATCAAAGCACCATTGGCTTCGTTGATCAGTTTGAGAAATATTGGACATGGCTTCCCTGCTCTTTTTCTTATTTAATTTCTTCTTTATCATTTTTTAATATTTAATCTTTTATATAAATTTAATTAGAAAATTATTTTATGTAAGAATTTTTAATTATAATAAAAAATTAAAAGTAATTTTTATAAAAAATTTTAATTGTAATAAAATTAAAAATTAAAATTAAAATTAATAAAATAAATGAAGTCTTAATTAATTATTAATAACATTTTACGTCAGTAGATTTAATTAATTTAAATAGTTTTGTATAATTTAGAGGGTGTTTTAAATTGTTTTAAAAAATTTTAGAGGCATTTTAAAAAATATACATAGTTAAGGAGCAATTATAAAAATGATCTTTTTTTTTCTTTTTTTTCACCGAATGAGAAGCTTCTCTCTCTACCTCTCACTCAGCTCTAGACTTTGCCAGACAGAAACCCTCGCAAAGCCTCTTTCTTTAACAGCTGAGAAGAAAGAGGAGAGAGAAACATGGCACAAAACGACACCAAGAAGAGGAAGAAGCCCAACATCCTGGTCACCGGAACGCCGGGAACCGGCAAGACTACGACCTCCTCCGCCCTCTCGGAGAGCACTCAGCTACGCCACATCAACGTCGGAGACTTGGTCAAGGAGAAGAATCTCCACGACGGTTGGGACGACGACCTCCATTGCTATGTTATCAACGAAGACCTCGTACGCCCTCAAAACCCTAGCTTTTACCAATTCAATTGTGATTTTCTGAGCTAATTGATCGATTGATTAATTCCTACTTCTTAGGTGTGCGACGAGCTAGAGGATTTGATGGAGGAAGGAGGGAATATCGTGGACTACCATGGATGCGATTTCTTTCCCGAGCGGTGGTTTGATCTTGTCGTTGTTCTTCAAACCGACAATTCCGTGTTGTACGATCGATTGCACAACAGGTAATTCGTAATTGTGTTGGTTGAACTTTCCATTCAATTCTCGAACTTTCTTTCTTCAATTTTGTTGATTATATGCAGAGGTTATCCGGAGAAGAAGCTTCAGAACAATATCGAGTGCGAGATATTCCTAGTGCTGCTTGAGGAGGCAAAGGAAAGCTACGCGGAGGACATAGTAATGGCGTTAAAGAGCGATAATATTGAAGACATCACCAGAAATGTTTCTGCTTTGACCGATTGGGTGAGGAATTGGCAACCGCTTTCATCTTAATTAGTGTAATCATCCTCATTCAATGTGACTTTTGAGAAAAGTGTTTGGTTTGTAATGAAATTTTATCACTTTTTGGGTTGAAAATGTTAATTTTGATGTTTGAGACTTACTTGTAGCTTCAGCTTTCACTTATAAAATGAAATTTCTTAGTTTGATACGTTGTTGTTCATTATATGGTTAAAGATGCTGTGGGCAGTTAATTCCGTTTCATTATGGACTGTAGAGAAGCAACCGGGTTTCTGAAACTCGCCATTGACTTATATGCTTATATATATAATATATTTATCTGGTTGTTGAATGACTTAGGGTCTGTTTGGTTCACGCATTTAAGTCAGTGATTCTGATTCATTGGCAATAGCGGGAACTTTGTGAGAGAAGAAATTTTTGAATTTAAATTCTTTGTGAGATGGAAAAATATTATAGCAGAATCAGAATTATGGGTGTAAGTATAGGAACTAAATAGGACCTTGGTTTAGAATTTGGGTGTCTCTGTATTTGACCAAAGAACTTACCCATTGACTTGTACACTTTAACATATCTAAGCCTGTAATTTGCACAGTATATCTAATATGTACGTGTATATATATGTTATTCTTTATCATTGCTGGCAAAGGTGGGAGGAGATTGCCCAGTTCAACAGTCTATGGTGCTTATATCATGGTTTTATATGGACTGGACATTTGTGTATTTATATTTTTGAAAAGAACAGGATTAGCAGGCCGGACCAGCTGTAAGCATTTCTTTGTTCACCAATCTTGTAGTCTGTGAAGGTCCCGAAGAACTGTATGTGGTCTAAGAGCATAAGGCAGATTGTATCAGAATGAACAGAAAATGAGGTGGAGAGAAGCATTAAGGGATAAAAGCCAACCAACAATTTCTGTCTGGATTTAGAATTTGTGAAGGTACTCCCATCCCTCCACCTCAGAGGGAATGCCAATCCCAAAAGCTCTCTGTTTCATCATAATTCGCCGTCAAGAGGCTGATGGAGTGTGTGGCATCGATGATCTTCCTAGTTAACTGCATCTAGATACGATTTATCAAGGGTGACAAATAGAATTACTCGAATTATAATAGGCACCTTCAATCAAACCAGCCAGTGTTGACAAGCCATCTGGCGGCGCTGCATACTTAGTATAGAAATGCTTGCCTTACGTCACTTTTTTTGTTACTTTTTTTCACTCTCTATTTGCTGTTTGTCCACGTGGAGTTCACGTGTCAAACTGTGAATGTATAATGTTAGTATTTTTCTGATTAGTAAGGTGGAAGTTGGACAACATTATGAAACGGCACCATCAAAGCGAGCTGAGAACAAATGCTGCTTGTTCTGATAATTTCCGACTAAAAATAAAAGCAAAATCTCTGCCACTGAACCATTCATTACAAGAATGCAACCTTACACAGAGAGGCCCTCCTACAACAGAAATCTGATAGTTTCCCCTTTTCGGACACCTATAAGTTACAACAAGAATGCTGATCATTTTCACTTTCTTTGAGCACAAAAAAACATAACATCCAGTATATCCTGATTTTCATCTCACACTAGTCGTCTAGTTCTCAACCCTCAATGAACCAGATTTATTTGCCCATGTCCAAAACAATCTAAATTGGAAAAAATAAAATAAACTCAAACACCCACATTTTCAATTAAAATAACTCATTTCAATTCAAGACCACATTTCAAACACTCATGCACAAAAATTAGCAATACTACAGTACCAAACAAAATCTGTCACAAAACTTTCAACTGATAAAAACAACGTCTAACCCAAAAACCAAAAAGAAAAATAAAGTTCATTGCAGATCTCGACGGGCTTTGAGCTCAGAGAATCCATAGCTGTCGGAGAGGCGGAGACAAGATTTCTCTACAAACAGCATCCTGTCAGGTTGACTCACCGGAACAACGCCCTCAATTATCACGCCTCTCTGGATATCGCGTTTTTGAATTCAGAAAAAAGAACCTCCTTTTAGTTTTTTTTTTTGGCTAAAAAAAACGTTTTTTTAGTTAATATTGAAGGAACAAGGAAGGAAGGAAACCGTCTGTTAATAAGCTTCCAATCTTATGAGTATTTCTTTCCTTATTTTTTATTTTTTGACAATTGACATTGCAAATTTCTGTTGAGGGGAGAGCAATAGAGACAACATTTAAGGGACAAGAGATTTGGGCCCCACCAGACACATGGCCTTTTCAAGTGCCTCTAGAAGCCAGGAATTGGAGAACTGTAGCTAACGACTATATAACAAAAAGAAAAAACGAAATTATCAAAAAAAAAAAAAAAGAAAAAGAAAAAACGAGGGCGACAATCATTTCATTTGAAGCTGCAGGCAATTAAGAAGAAAAGCGAGGGCTGTAAAGGTAATTAACACATAATTCTCGAGCTTAAAGACCCTTCTTTCCTATAATGTCTTTTTTATTCGGTTCTTTACTGCTCGGACAATAATTATCGAACCTCCTTTCTCACTTTTCCTACTTCAAAGTGTTTGGCGAAATGTCTATGAGAACGTAAAATGGGCACTAAAAGGCTTTCTACTGCGATGTTGAGATAATAATTGAATCAATAATCTGGTATTCTAGTGCCCACTTTTAGAATAGAATGATAAAGGTAAATGCAATCTTGGTTAAATTGATGGGTTTAACTATTATTTATTTTTTTTAGTTATTTTTCTTTACTTTTTGAGGGCAGAATAGTCTTTACATATTTGTTTTCAACTTTCTTCTCTCATATATTGTCCTCAAGAAACTCTAGCAGTATCTTTCTGCTTCAATTTAATTCTTAGAATTCACAAGGTGGTTAGACTGGTAGTAAAATATTTGATGTATTCATGCCCTGCTATTGATGCATTATAGTTGTATATGCATATATAGTGTCACGGGTTTGAAGCTCACATTGAAGAAGTCAAGGATTTAAGATTGTTGTCGAAGTCTTTGCAACTATGCTCATCAGGAATTTACTCTCCTCAAGTCACATTCCCTCTTTGAGATGCTTTTCGTCATCGGCGCCTTGTTTGCTTAAAGTTGGCGACACACTGAAGCAAACGAGAACGTTTGCAGACGAAGATTTGATGGAATATGCTAAGGTTACTTATGACTCTAACCCTATACATTTCGATTCTGAGGCCGCTCGAAATGCTGGATTTGAAGACAGACTGGTTCATGGAACGCTCGTTGCTTCCATGATTCCTCATATTATATCTTCTCATTTTGTAAGTCTTTATGTTTCTGTTGGATTTTTTGTCCCAAACTTTCTTTGGTTTGTTTTATTTTATGCAACTGATAAAAAGGAATGCAACATGAGAAGTCAAATAAGATTCATGAGACGTAAACCTGATAACTGAGAACCATACGCACGCTTTGTCTTTTTCTAGACGTAGATGGATGGGTCCATGGACCTTATTCTTTAGAACTGTTTGATAGATTTTCTAATTTCTAAAATTCTGCGGGTTTTTCGTAGCCGGGAGCTGTATATCTTTCTCAGAGCGTGCATTTCAAGTTACCGGTTTATATTGGAGAAGAGATTGCTGCTGAGATGGAAGCTATTAATATAAGAGCAAACAAGAAGAGATACATGTAAGTTTGCATTATCAGCTGCAAAGACATTTCCTTCATTGTGTTAAATGAAATGAACCATTGTGTCTTGACTAGTCTGGGTGCTTGTTTATGTGGAGCAGAGCAAAACTCAAGATCAGGTGCTTCAAGAATGGTGAGCTTCTTGTCCTTGATGGTGAGGCTATGGCTATCTTACCTTCACTGGTTGTGGAACAAGTGCATCGTTAGGGACGATGAATAAGACGGTTCAAGGGTAACTGCAATTCACTACCGAGCATTTCAGCTCGCGAGCATCATCAGTTGATACTCTTGATTCTTTTCTTTTCTTTTTTTTTTTGGGAATTTGAGACGTCTAGTTCATGGATTAGAATTATTTTTTATTTACGTGTATTTTTTGTGAGAGAAAATACTGCAGCGAACCACGAACCATAATTCGAATTAGAGAACGAATCTAGGTACCAAACATCATCTTAGTTGATACTCTAGTTTTGCGAGAGTACTGAAGCAAATGAGTAGGGCAACGCTAAAGACGCTTATATACAGTAACATTGAGATGAGGTATTAGAGTTTTGTTTCAACTTAAACAGGTTCATATCCTTCCCGTCGCCCAAGTTGTGTTCGTTTTCTCCTGATTCTTGTAATCAACTTGGAATATAGTCTTGTGAAAAAAGAAAGGAAGAAGAACAATTAAAATTCTCGGAGAATTTCTCTACTGTTAACTTGGATAATACCTTTGTGAAAATGGAATGGATATTAAAAGAAGAAACCAAAAAAAAAAAAAACTTATCGATGACTTCGTCAATAGAAAGATGTTCATTTAATTGCCTATAGACATATACAAAAATTTATCCATACAAAAAAGTTCACTCGTATCAAAATTCTTCCCCCTTGTAAAACAAAATATTTCCCTCGTGTTAGCTTTCGTCTTGCAACATACCGACAGAAAAACTCATCAGGGGAGAACTTCTCTAATCCAGATATACATCATATTCGAACTTCAAATGCATAGTAAACTCTAAGAGAGAAGACGGAATCAAGTCTCAAAAAAATTCCAGTGTGCCTGAGATGGCGATAGGTGGGTTGATATGGATACAGGAAGCTTTCTCTTCGGCGAGCAATTCTGGTAACCTGTTGGCCTCCTTGGCTGCAACACCCTCTGCAGTCCATATGGTAACATGAGGCCACTCGTTTTTTGAGACTACCAGTTCGCCGTCAACAGACCCAAGTTCAGCTTCAAATGCAGCCATTTTGTCCGTGTAAAGCAATGCAGTTAATTCCACCGGGACTTCCTTATGAAGGAAGACGCCATAGTTGGCAACGGCAGTTACTCCATGACTTCTCTTGTGTGCAAGAGTAACATGAGCCTTTGTGAGGTTCTTTAAATGCCTGTCTCCAAGAACTACTTCTGCCCCTGGATTCTTCCTCACCAACTGCTTGGAAAGAATAAACAAATAAACAGAATCAAACAACACAGTGAAACAGAAGCAGATCTTCATTTTGATTCATAATAATTCTAATTTCAAATTCAAGACGTCAAAAAAAATAGTAAAATATGTGTGTGTATGGATGAGTTTTCAATGGATACATCTCCATCAATGGCCATCCATTAAATATAGCAATTTGCTGGCGTGGTGTGGTAATAATTCAATTTCATTAATTGCAATAAATTTTTTTGGTCAATTACCCAAATTATTACAACTATAGGATCAGTATCTTACGGCTAAAACAACGATATTAGAGTAACACCGTGTGTGTGTATATATAAATAAAAATAATTTGAGGCAGAAGGTTACATCAAAAGCACAGGAAAATTAGAAAATTTGACCAAAACTTATCCAAGACAATAATTCAGTCAGACATCCAAAGACGTCGAAACTTCTATTTCAGATTTTATAAAAAGAAAGAAAAATATACATAGTTTGTCAGACATTAGATTTATGAAAACAGAGTACCACTTGTAAGAGAGTGGGTTTTCACTTACCTCATCAAAACGACTTTTGATTTCCGTAGCAGGCAGACTGACAGCCGCATAAGCAATGGTTCCAAACGCCCTTTTACCAGAAACTGGTGTTTTGTATTCACCTTTTGCTATCTTTCTCAGTTGTTCCAACACTTCCTTAACAGCAAACTCAAACGGAACCTGGGACGTTACATTAAAAATAAGATCTCCATCAAGAGATCTTTCAGAGATGGTCACCCCTATTCTCAAGTCAATGCTCTCACCCCTATTCTCAAGTCAATGCTCGATTACCAATTCTATCCATATATTGTTTTTAACATCCAATATAAGGCCAGACGAAGAATTAGAAAACGACAATTATGAAAGAAAATTAATAGTGACCTGAACAGAATTAAGGTATTCAGCATTTGCCAATAGAACCTCCCGCAATTGTTTTTCCCATTTAGCCCATTCTTTTGCGTAAGTACCCTTTGTGGACTCCAATCTGAATGGGTTATCAAAAAATGAACAAAAGAAATAAGTACTTCCCACCTAATAAGGTGAAGGCAATGAAAAAAAAGCAGTAACAGCTAGCAGTAGTGGACAGACATAACTATTCTGCAAATATGAAAAGTGAATATTTAAAAATGCAGTTGGTGGGTTCATTTTGTTAACAGTGGAAAGAAGGGGGAAGAAAACAACCTTCATAATACTGAATTTGAAATACACATGTTTCACCAGACAATTCGAATGGCATACTATAATTTTTCATCAAATCCAAAAACATGAAAGGTCAGAGCGAATCAAGAAAGAAAGAAAAAAAATACACAAAGCGACTCCCACCAATGAACTGTTTTCTTCTATGTCCTTTAATCCACCCCTTGGCTGAAGAGAAGTACTGAAAGAATTACTTACTCTAAGACTCAGGCTACAGCGTTTCATCACACTATACACAGAATGTTTGGAAAAGATAGGCTACAGTGTTTCATCACACTATACACAGAATGTTTGGAAAAGATGCAAACAAAATTGTTTCCCCCCCCCCTTAAACAAATAATATTAGTATGCCAAAGGAATGAAAGAAAAAAAAGGAGGAATGAAAGATCCTGGAAACCCAGTGAAAGAAAAGTTTTAGACCAATTTTTGGCTCTAAAACACATCTTAGAAACGGTTTCATGGCTAGCACAACTGCAAAATGTTACAAGCATTATTCTTCTAAACGGTTGCACACATGTTAAACAATGTGGAAGTCAAAGCATATACTGGTACTTCATATTTCTACTTCTATCAACGAATAACATTTAGTATTTTTAGACGTAGAACCCATGTAAAGCAAACACCAATAAGTAATAAGAGTATCAAATGCATTGACAATTCCATAATAGTACCTCCCATGTCTATCTCTGTGAAGATTGTATAGATTTATCCCTTCCTCTAGGACAGACTTAACAGGATCAGGTAGAGGACTCCTGCATACAGAATTACACATTAAAAATACTGCTGTAGTTGTGTAACACAGAATCTCTAGAAGATTCCAACAAATGATAAAATAAGGTGCTCTGCAACTCGTGGACTGAGAATAGCAATTTTGGTGCTTCTTTCCTGTATTGAGAACCCTCGCCTTTTTCTCTCTAAACTCACTGTTCCTTCCAGTTGTATAAGAGAGCCCAAAGCTATAGCATATGCTACATACTAATAGAGCAATTTCTTTTCGATCAAAATTCAGTAAACAAAAATCTGGCAAAAGAACACATCCTTCGAAACAGAAAACATGGACCCCTTTTATCAGAAACTAAAAGATACCTATCAGATTTCAGCAGCGGCATCTTGATGAGTGAGCCAAATCTCTCAACTAATTCACTATCAAACTCTTTTCGGCTCTGGAAAAGGTCAAAATAATAGGTTAGAACATATATTAACCATGGGTACATGTTCCACCACATAGTTGACAGATGAGGAGAAAAAAAAATAAAGGAACAAACAAAAGAAGAACAAGAAGAAACATGCCTTGCCCTCATAAAGGTGATAAAACATAAGCAGCACATAACCAGCATTTGGAGATGCCTTGTCAAGACTTCCCTGACGAATTAAAACATATAAGAGATTCAGAATAATGAATAGAAAAGGAAAAAAAAAGTGCAACTATATAAATAACTCAAGGAACGACAACTACATACCGGATGATTTACACGTTGCAGCACTCGATACATAAAAACAGCTAATGCGTCTAGAGAGAACGGATTTGAATCAGTTCCTGCCCATTTAAGAACAAAATGTAAAACCTTTAAACAAAAAGAAAATGACATATTAAACCTCACATTTTGCAAGACAAGGGGCAATAGGATATAATGTAGTCGATCTGACATGAGATGGATATTACACTCTGTCGCATTATGTCTAGAATCTAGATAGTATAAATAGAAAGGATAGTAATTGAAAAGCAGCCTTGAGGCTTAAGATGTGCCTCAGAAACACTTCTTAAACAACGAGTGTAGGCAAGCTACTAATAGCAGACATAACAAAATAAAAGTTTAAAAAGTAACAAAGAACCTTCAGAATCAGGTACAACTGGAACTGCAGATGCCCTGGTGCTGTGACACATGTGTTCAATCTGAAAAATTGGGCAAGCAGTGAAAGGTCATGATGAAGCAATTCTGATTACTATAATTCTAAAAAATTTGGTCCAGAGAACACAAACTAAAAAAAAAGTTTCATATTTAATTTGAAGCTTTTGCTTTGTTGCACAGCATTTACGACAAAATTACATCCACTACTTTTTTCATTGACAGGTTGCCACTTTTAGGTTTTATTTCAGTCAATATCTTTCTTTTGATTCCACCGTCAGTGTCACCAGCATAAGGTATCAACCAATTGATTCTTGCTGGTGAATACCTTAAGATATTAACGGTCGGATGCAAAAAATCATAGAATTCTTAGTTTTTCTCTCGGCCCAAGCAAAAGTTTCTAAGACTAGGTTTTGGGGGCCCATACTTGTTCTTGTTCATATATTAGCATATAAGTATCTATGAGTCTGCGCATCGTGTAGAACTGCCCTTATGTATGCTAGACAGAGAATTCACCTGTCTCCACACTTCTTCATTTGGTGCATTCTTGTCCGCAAGCATTATTGAGTATGGCTTTCTCCTGCGCTCATCAGCAACCTTTTGCCAATATCTTCCTAGAGATACACAATGTAGAAGTTGTTCGCGTTAACTAACAGATAAACAAACTAAAAATTACCAACTAATTAAGCATCATAATATTAGGAGACCAATTTAAGGCAATGTGGAAGGTAACCAACTGTACTATTATTAATGTTTGGATTATTCATTCTGAACAGCTTCCAATATTATTTTCACTACATCCCATGATTTATGACACTTCAAGAAGTGATTACACAGTCAAAAATATGTTTATACATTTCTGGCCAATCAGCACCAAGTCCAGTGTTAACCTGGCCGATCATCAACTAACCTTGCTAACTAACAGATAACTCGAGTGTTAACATACATCTTTATACATCTGTAAATTCAGTTTACAACATTAAAAAAAAAATTATACCTTTGATAAGGTCACCCATCAGACTTTGAACTGGCCGATCATCACCAAGTCCTCCTGGGGCATTTAGTAGTTCCTTGCAAAGTGCAGACTTAGCACACCCAGGTATACCTTAAAACAGAAAATCAAAGGCAAGTTTCAAGCTAAGGAAGCGAAAGCTATGTTGAGTCCTTAAAAATGAAGCAAAACTTGGATCACGAAAAAATGGGCTTCTCAAAGAATTGTTAAAACTTAGATCATGTCAACAGCTAGCAAGTAGAATTCTGACCCAAAAAATAAAAAAAAATAAAAAGAAGAATAAACTTCCAACATAACATATAAGTGCGGAAATGTCGCTCTGAATTCTGTCAAATGGTAGATACATATATCTTCTAAAGAATAGAGAAGAATAATATTGGCAAAAGCAAAATAAATTCATTTTTCATTCATTGTAAAGTTAAAAAACGAGAGGTCTCACTAAATATTCTCAGTAAGTATAAAAAAATAAAAAATAAAAAAAGAAGGGGAAAATTGAAAAACAGAAATGCAAACAATTATGGGAAAAAATGTTTGCATTGCTAGATGCATATAAGTGGATTTTGGTTATGGTGCGGATAAGCTCCCTAATTTCTGTAGAACTGGAACAATAGAGCTCTGCCATGAAATTCCTCTGCTATTTGTAATTAGCATACCATACGATACCTGGAAAGAATACAATCAAACCCTCATCTCTTGGAACAGAGTCCTTGACAGAGGGACCAGGGCTCGGTGGAGTTACCTCCCGCTCTGTTGCAAGATCACCCTCTTCATCCCTACCACCCTCAATAATGGCCAAGAAATCTTCAGCTCTTACAAAGCTACCAGCAGATCCTATCAGAACCTGGTTCTGGGGACTTCGCTTTGCATATTGTTCAAGGAAAGGCTCAGCCTCACTAAGGTATGTTGATGATGACAGCTGTTTATTTCCATACTTCCTTCGTATATAAACAGCCCTGAAAGTTAAGAGAATAGTTTAATCTCTGAATAAAAAGATAAACAAAATCCAAGCAGAAAAAAGAATGACAAACCTATACAAGTTAAATCGCACGTTACCATTCATCAAGCATCTTACTGAGTTCCCTCTGCTTTCCTGCAGATGTGCCCCATGATTTCATTTGCCTATGATACATAACAAAAATGAAATAAATAAAGTAAAACAAACAAACAAAGATAAAAAAAAAATCAAAAATCAAAGTGCTTATCAAGCAGTCTTCAATAGGTCAAGCGGAGTAGGATTACATTTTTGATGGATTCCGGGAGCAGTAAAATACTAAAGTAAATCAATTTCTCAAACACCAACATCAAGATTTTAGTTCCAGTGGATGGGACAACTAGAACAGCGGTTAAAGATGATTATGTTGACAAAACATCGGCACTCTGTTTTAGGGCTCTAATTTGATAGCAAATCTTTTAACTTTTAACATGCTGATATGGATAACTTGCATCATAATATTACCTGTAGTTTATGCTAATAAAACCTGAAAAATATATTATATAGCTTTACAAGCACAAGAGCTTACCTTAAGTAATAAGCCTTGTAAGCAGCTGGACCTTCTTTAAAAAGAATTGACAAACCATTGCGAATCAAAAAGGTCCGCAACTGCAAAGAAAAGGTAACCACAACCAGTTTAGAAGTCTTTGGTCGTGTTTGGAATTAATCCCGTTTTTTTTTTTATGTTTTTCGAGAAAGAAAAAATGAAAACGTTTTCAAAACGGCGTTTAGCGCAATAAAGACAAAAAATGGAAATGAAAACGATTTTTTGGTTTAGTGTAAAATGAGATAGAAATGAAAAACGAATTTTAGTCGTTTTTTATTTTTTGTTTTCGTTTTCTCTTCTCTCGAGCAGAGAGAGAGGGAGAGAAACATTAATGGGTTTTTTTATACTGAAAACAATCTCTTGATAAAATTACCAAACGTCTTTTCAAAAATGATTTCTGTCTGAGATTGAAAACGTTTTCATTTTCATTTTCATACAAAAAACAAAATCATTTTGGAACGAGTTCTAAACGCGCCCTTTGTATCTGTAAAGAATCTAACACTGGGGAACAATACAAACAGTATAGAAATGCAAGTAACAAAGAGCGATGGTTCTGTATAGAGGAAAAAATAAACTAAGAATTTCCGTCAAGTGAATATATCATGCTGCCAAGTACAAGCATGTAAAGAAAACTTCCTAACACTTAAAAAGAGCGCAATATATCCCATGTTATTACAGATATAAACTACAGTTCAAATGAAAAGAGAATTTTGCATTGTTTCATGAATGCTCATATTGGAATTTACCTTGTATGTAAGAAATTTCAATTTTATCATTAAGTTTGCATCCTCATCAGCTAATTCACCTTTTTCTGATGCAGCGCTGCTACCATTTTCTACACTGCTGCGGATGTTTTTTGCAAGTTCAGCAGCCTTCTCCTTGTTTACCTTGAACAAATTGATATCAACGAAAAAACCTGGTAAATATGGAAGACATTAGTAATGCAATTGAACAGCCTTTTCATATAAATAGAAACTTGTATTATTGAAAAAAAAAAAAAAAAAAAGTAAAAGTTCTTGTAACAAAAATGTAATTGACAGATCATTAGAGTAAGGTAAGGTTGCAGGTTGTTTTCGGATGCAAGGACTTTTAGATGATCCGTGCATATATGCATGCATCAGGCCTTTTTTTTTTTTTTGAGAAAAGATCCTTTTATCAATAAAAGGATAAAAACAAACACTACACGAGAAACCTGAGGATGAGATATTCTCAGGGAAGAAATAAAAACAAAAACACCAAAAAACAGAAACACAGAGCTAAATGGAAAACTGCCTTGCATAAAAACTACTGCCCAATTATATCCTTTCAACTAGGGACTATCAAAGAGAATGAATATATATGCATGCATCGGTTATAACTAAGACTCTTTCAGATGATAGAAAATGCTTTACACTGGTTTGGAGTCTCCAATACACACACACACACACACACACACACACACACAGAGTAATATTCGTCCCTGATTCTGCATATATCACAACAATCCTTTGTCAACAATCTCGCAACATGTTTCTCCACTTCCAGGAGAATTTTCAAAATCATTGGGCTATGAGTTACATGAGTACTTAAGATCGTTAAGTGCATAGTAGTAATCCTCACCTCGATATAATGGCCATAGTTCTGGTTTGTGCCTGAAAGGTGCCAAAAATTTAGATGGGACTATTTGAAGCGTGCATAATGAATAAGAGGAAGGAAAAACTTAAACCGATCCTTTTATTAAGGAAGAGAACTCAAAAGTCAAGAGGAGAGCATTAATTCTCAAATACCTCATCTCTTTCTGGTACCGTCGAAACACAGAGTCACTGTGGATATGAATGACCATCTTATAGAAAAGGTTGCCGCTTGATACAGAATCGAATTTGTGGAAGTTATGGTAACATTTAAAGGCAGCAGGGAAACGTCTTTCCCTCATCAAGCGAATCATTTCCTAGTTCAATCAAACTTAAGTCACCATTATAAAAGTAAACGCACAAATCAAAGGAGAAGGAGCACTTAACTAGTAGTACAATTTAACAAAGAAGCCCATAACTTGGCGACTAAGAAAGCAATAATGAAATATAGATGATTTGCACAGCGATTTGCACAGGGATTTGCAAGATACTCAGTTAGACAAATATTTGAAAGCAAGGAGGAAAAAGGAAAGACAGAAAAAAAAAAGGAAATCCAGCCTAAGCTTAAGAAATGTAATATTTAATATACCAAAGGCACAACATGCAAAATGAAACAGATCCAAGGGCCAAGTACTCAAATCGTAACATTAAAAGTTTTGCAATCTCAACATTCTCTAAAACCATTCAAAATGGAGTACATTCTAACCTGCAATTTGGTGGTTGAGAAATCAGCAGGATGGCATTGTAAGAACTTTGAAAGAACAGATCCGTCAGCATTTCTAGAATGGTCATCGCCAGCCTCAATTCCAAGCCATTCTGAATGGTCAGGGCAAAAGGAGTTCCCAGTGCTCTGAAGCAGCGCCTTTATTTGCTGAGGTATGATTGTATATGCATTCCTTATGATCAATAAATTAACAAAATCCATGTGAAAACTCCACTTAACATATTAATGGCAATATTCAGATCGATACCTGCTTTTCATCAGACCGATTTGCAGCACAAATATCCCTTAGGCTTGGCCCCAAATCAAGGCTAGCTAAAAATAAAGCAAATATTAGGAATATCTTCACATTCTTAAAACATTAAGATTTTTTACAAGCATATCCAATGGAGAGGAAAGTCACCTAAAGTCCACAAGTGGAGGTGCAAAGAAGCAAACTAAACTCATATAATGTATGCTAAAGTGTCTTCATTGGCTTGGTTAAAATACGAAATTATTCACGAGTGCTAGAAATTTAAAACGTACAATTAGCTAAGCAGAGATCATTTATTGAAGAAAGAAAAAACAACGTGCATTGGGAGAAAAATTCATCTCACGTCTTCAAGTGAAGGTGCAAGCAAACTAAGTTTGCATAACAGATGCTAAAAAGTCCTTATGGACTTGATCAGAATATAAATTTGCAAACGAGATAGCCAGAAATTTACAACATACAATAACCAACCACAGACTCGGTGCTCAGAAATTTACAAAAGAAGAAATGTGAGTACATTCACATAGAGAATTGTAGATTTATAGATTGACCCAACCAATAAAAAAATGTGAAAACATTGAAGAATAAACAAGTATACCTCCTTCAACTGGCGGAGGAGGAAAATCCTCCAAAACTTTCTCCATATGTTTTGAGCTCTCATGACTTACAATACGAGCCACAAGACCCTCTAATATTTCTCCCTGCACCTTGATATGATCTTTTGAACCTGCATACTAACTTAAACTTGAGATGTGTACCCCCGAAATAGCTTATGAAAAAGAAGCACGTCATAATTGGATGCTAATTATGCAGAAATTAAGCGTGAAATAAAGAAAGGCATCACATAAATGCATAGCAGAAGCCAGCAAAATAGCGCATGGAAAAACTTCAAAATTTATGTAGTATAAAAGTAAACTGCGTCCAGGAGTGGACCAACCATTAAAATTAAAGCAAATCGCATGTGAGTTTACCAGCCACAGATATATCTGCAACTTCATCAAGAGCCTTGCATACAGGTGTTGCAGTTCCTTCTTCACACAGGGCATCAAAGGCAGCAAAAAATGACGTGACTGATTTCCTTTAGTTACAAAAAGAAAGAAAATCAGAAGGCAATGACCTATTTTATTTTATGTTAATTCAGAAAATTTTGGTTGGTGATGGAGATCTCATCAATCACCTTGTGGAGAACAACCAGATGTGATTTGTTGGCAGGTGCCATTTTCTACAAAAAGCAATTATATCAGGAGTAGAGTAAAACTTCGGCTTCCCATTGCCCAATTCTGTCACAGCCGTCACTACCACTGCCCCCAAAAACAATGCAAACGTTGTCGAACATAATAATTAATAAATAATGTTGCAGACTTCCACAAAATAAAGAAGCATTAACTTAAGCCATAAGGTTCAACATGCTTCTCCATCAAAAAATGAATACACAAAAATGAGGTGACCACCAAATTGTAACAATTTGATGAAGGCTAAACCTAATGCACTATTTTTATTTAAGCTACATAAGATGGGATTAAAGGGCATTCAAAATAATCTATACTCAACCAAATCCAAAGGAAACTTGGTAAATGGCACTAAAGTTAAATAATAATAATAATAATAAAAAAGCGTTTATTGAGCACACGCTATGTGGCTTCAAAGGAAGCTGACCGGTTATGATACTGAGCACACACACTGCACACACACACAATTAGATACTTATCTTCCAAATATAGCGTTTACTTTCACTTGAATTTTATACCTAATAATTCATAGCATTACTTTCACAAAACATCTTTATCGAACCAACCAAGATATAGAACAGCTAAGGACCACAATTCTTGTTTATGGAAAAAGAAAAGGACAGTACCATAATCTTCTCGAGGGCGCTGTCCATGATCTCCTAGAACAGCAGTAACCAGTTCCATTGATATGCATATACGGTTCCTCTGAAAGAAAAACCAATATTAACATCAAGCGTATTAAAAATAAAAAAGGAAAATTAAAGTACTAAATTATGATCATGGTAATTACAAACTCAGAAAACATGGTGCATCAATTGTAAGCTTGTCTAGAGGTTTATGATTTTATTCAACTAGAAAAGTGACATTCTGAACCCTAGTTCAGGAATTACTCGGCAGGTGATGCAGTTCTTCTCAAAGGTTCAAGTTTCCTACAAAGATTACCTCAAGAAATTCATTAAACTCTTCTTGCTTCTTAGCTGCTTCAGCTCCCCATGCCTCTCGAAATATCCGACCAAGAACAAATACACCCACAGCAGTATATCTGCAAGAGTTAAAATGATTTCAAGCAAACTACATATTAGACAAACCAATAAAGACATGAAGTAAATTATAAAAATATATTTTTTAACGTAATTATAAAAGTATTGATCACCATGCCATCTCTACAAAATCTCTATCTCAATATTTCAATGCCAAAATCATTCCAAAACATGCTCAGTTATCAAAAAAATTCAATTATAACAAGTTTTTAATTTAGAATTTCTGGTATATCTTTAGAAAACTTCCATTTCTGCACCTCCCTTCTTTCAATAAAAGCTCCATCTCTTATCAAAAAGTAGAAGTGCAAATATGTTTCTAACAAAATAAACATGGAAAGCAGTTCATTTAAAGTTTGACATAAAGGACAATTGGGGACAAAATAAGAAGATTGCTGTCAAAAGCATACGTATTCCCGAAGCTGTTTTTCGCATATGCTCCACCCTCATTACCAGCATACATAAAAAGAGACCCAGAGTGTTTAAGTGAAACCTGCATTATTTCCAATAAATCCACCGAGTAAAAGCAATCAGTCAAGAAATTAAAACAGAATATACAAAAACAGAGGAAAAAACATGCTTCCAACTAAATAATAAGGCATATCACCATATCAGATAACTAAATCATACCAAAACTAACGCCACAAAGGTAGATCCTTAAATCAGGAAACTTCTCTTTAGAAAAATAATAATAATAATAATAATAATAATAATAAAAAGGATCCCAATCCAGAATACATCATCAGTTTTTTCACTAGAGCTAAAAAGTCGTGTACAAAGTTACCTCCAAGGTAGCTAAGCCTTTAGATACCATCTCTATCATCCTTGTCCGAACCTGACATAAAGAAGAAGATCATCAAATCAACAACCAACCTACGTCCCAGTTGGAGTAGATGTTCCTGTTACTCAAAAGGAGGGAACAGCAAAAATAAAGTAAATAATTCTATCAAAGAGACAAGTCACGTATATAGTTTTTATTTTGTGGCGACATCAAAAAGCAACTTAAAACAACTAGCATAAGCACTAAAATATAATTGTGCTCAGAACATGTGGAAAAGACAGTTTAAGTATTAGTCCCCTCCCTTCTACTAAACATGTCAGCAGACAAGTATCTGAAACAATAGGCCTTGCAAACTAAGCAGAGTTGGTTTGCAATGTACCTCCTGATCTGACTTCTCATTTTCAAATTTGGGATAGAAAGTAGCTCTTATTTGTGCTTGTGCAAACGTAGAATTGTCCACGGTAAAACTTTCCAATAAATTACCCTTGAATAGCTTGCTCAAACCAAAACGACTCTTCTGAGATGTTGACGCTTGTCCTACTCCAGTGCCCTGGTTGAGATGTGCACTTTTATCAACAGATGTTTCTTCAACTTGAACCGCAGTGGCTCCGCTCATTGTCCCGTAAGAATTGGGCTTCCAGATTGCATTTTGACCTTGAATGGGGACCTGATTTGGCAATTGAACACTACCAAACAGAATCGGTTGAACAGACGCATTGGCCGGGCCGTGTTTTTCACTGAAACTCAACCCATCAAGTCTCTTAGTGATATCTTCAACGACAGAAACAGATGAACCCTCCATATCAGTAGATATCCTGTTGGGTTTTGGCTCTTCTTTCCATTTTTGTTCCTTGCGAGCACCCTTTCCCTGAAAAGTTTGCAAAAATTGAAATCATAAATTAATCCACGAAAATAAGATCAAGAAAGCTATTCAAAATTACTACCCGTAATTTACTAAGGAAGGCCCTTAACGTCGTAAGGATTACCAACATTGCAATGTATTAATAGCAGTTGGAACATCAATACGTCCATTCAGGATTCCACATTAGCCTTACATGACAGACTACATAAGCAATTCTAGCGGGCAAACAAATACTAAAATTATTTGCTATAACATTGATATTGATGTAGGACCAATAGAAAAGAGATAAAATAGACATATAAGAAGAGAATCAAAATATAGAAAATAAAACCAGAGAGAGAAACACAGGATTTTAGAGAGAACGAGAACTCGAGAGTGAGGAGAAAGAAAGCTGAAACTCAATATACACTCATCAACCATAACTCTACTGAAAATAAAATCAATAAACTATTTAATGAGAAATGAAAATGATAAAAAGAAAAACGTGACCTGGGTTAGATATTTTTAGTAGATAAACGTAGTCCTAAAGTTCAAGACTAAATACTGAAGATAATGTAGAGAAAATACATGTGTGTGTTATCCCACATGAAAAATAGATGAGAATGTGAAGTGGTTTATATACATAGAAAGATCCAAGACCTAATAGGTTAATCTTTTGGGTCAAGTTGGGCTCCTGAAACGTGTTGGACCAGTTTCGCATGTGGTGTCTCCCCAACAAATGGTATCAGAGCCGATGATTCATATGGGTCAAGCAATCACACTAAGTTGCAGTTCCCACGTTGTCTCGTATGGAGAGTTGGTGTTCTCGCAGGTGCGCGGATGGTGGAACATTTAGTACATGATTTCGGCTCTCTTTCCCATGTTTGAGTTAGCTCCCGTTTAGAGTGTGATGTTTGGATGTGTCGGCGACTTAAAACCTTAATTCGAGGAGAAGCTCGGTGAACACACATGAAGGAGAAATTATTGAGAAAATACATGTGTGTTGTCTCACATAAAAAATAAATAAGAATGTGAAGTGGTTTATATACATAAAAAGACTCAAGACTTAATAAGTTAACATTTTGAATCAAGTTGAACTCTTAAAGTGTATTGAACCAGTTTCACATCATCAGTGGTGTCTTCCCATTGAACCAGTTTCACATGATCAGTGGTGTCTTCCCAAGACCACAACTTGCAGCTACTGCAAATAGCAACAACATAACTCATCTAGAGCTATTTTTGGCACCAAAGAATCATCTTTGACCGCAGCACAAGAATCATCGCTCGTCAATTTAAAAAAAATAGCACAATATTGCAGGAATTCATCATAAACTAGGGAAAAAACGATCAAAATGATCAGCAAAACAGGCTACGAATGAACTAAAAAATCACCAGTAAGGCAAAACAATAAACGAGAGAGTACCTGATTGCAAGACATGGCGGAAGGAGAAAGAGAAGTCGAAATAGCGGAGGAGAAAGAAAGGGAGCGAACTAGGGTTACGAAGGAAGGGGAAGAGCGAAGGAAGAGGAAGCTTCTGAGCTTGAAGGCCGTCGATGGAGAAGAACGCCGAAAACGGAGAGGAAGAGAGAGAGGGCAAAGAATAATCCTCTGCGACGCCGACATTTAATTGGTAGTGTAGGCCCTTTTGACCACGTTTTATTGTATTGGAAGAGAGTAGAAACAGGACGAAAATGAGTTTTTCAGATGTAGAGAAACACACACGCCACAGCGGCTTCTGAGGCTCGCTGTGTGCTGTGTCATTCGCTCACTCCTTAACAGCGGGAAATTTCCAATTCCACAGTTCTGGTGTGCAAACGCAATTAATAAATGTTGAAGGGGCAAATGGGTAATCTGAGTTTTTACCGCTGTTGCCGGCGACGATGTCTTTTGTGTGTACGACTCTCACCGTGATTTTTTTCTTTCCGTTTCGGTCGAACGACGCCCACATTTCATCACAAACTTTGATGAATCTTGATCAAACGGCCGACTCAAAATAATAACAATATTAACCGAATTTTGCTAACGCTTGATACTTGTTCGGGAATATCATGACTAGCAAATTCATGCTTTCTTCCTGTTGCTAATAAAAAGCAACATGTATTCTCAAAAAATAAAAAATTAGCTTTTGATTCGAGTTTTCAATTTAAATTTATATGTGATTTTTTGTAATAATTTTTTACTGTAACGTAAATGGTTAAATGTAATTTTTTATAAAATTTTTTTATTATAATAAATTAAAATTAAAAACTCAAATTGAAAAATTGAACATACTTACATGGGATTAGTAGGGGTCCGTTGCCGTGCTAGGTTTTCAAATTCTCTGTCGTTTATTCGAGTAAACGATATGAAGCATTTACTTTTCAACTATTGTTTTATGCAGCCATCATGTCGTTCAACTTAAAACTATAGCAACGGGAAAAACAACAAAAAAGAAAAACAGAGAAACGACATGAATCTTAACACGACATCCGGTAAAAGTCGACAACACAATCAAAAGGCAACAATAAATAGAATCCTTTATTTAAGAAGAGATATAGAAACGACAGAAACATTAACTACAGACAAGAAAATTGGGGGAAAAAACGACGAGAAAAATGAACGAAAGCAATATTTGGAACAAAAACAACGGATAAAAACTCAATATTTATTTTATACAAATCTAAAAAGAAATAAAATGCGACAGTGTAAATAAAAAATGACAACAAGTAAAACAGCAGAAACATTAAAGAAACGACGAAGTTGTTTGCCATCTTTACGAATAGAGCAGACGATTGTATTAGGCAAAAAAATTATGTACGTATTACATTTTCAAATTAAGCTATTCAAAGCTTGTCGTTACCGGTGTTGTGATCTTCTACAGAGCCGGAGTCTGCAATCTCTTGTGGCTCGCGAAATCGGGATCTGAACCCAGTGAATTTTTTGCCCAGCTTGTTGGGGTTAGTGGAGGTAAGGATGAAAATTTCAGACATTTTTATCAATATTTTTGTGGAAATTTCTATATATACTGATATGAAAATAGGAGTATGGTATCTGTTGTGTGAGAAAATGTGATGGACACCTGGACCAACGACGCCACGACACGTGGCTATACTTACTTTCCGCCGAGCACCCAACCCTCGACGCTTCGTTTCCCTCAAGATCAGCTATAGAGCCCGAAGATGAAGTCCATGATTAGGGCAACGACCCCATGAGGCGTCGACGGTTGATTCCGCCTGGGTCGACACGACAAGATCCATCGACAGCAGAATATATCACTAGAAGGGGCGAGAAAGGTTAAACAACCACTGACGACGAGGGGAACGTCCCTTTTCGACATGATAGGTTACATGCAAAGATAAGAGAAGTCTGACAGCATTAATTGCAAGTTTACAAACCGCCCCCCAGGGGACAGAAAAGCATTACGGAGAGTCACAGAGTCGTAATAGAAGACTAATTGGTTGAGTGAACAGTACTAATTAGTGGGCTATGTCTGGACCTAGAGCACTTGAGTGTTCCTACCTACGAAGGAAACCCACCCAGCGAAGGAAGCCCGAGTATAAAAGAAGAAGGACCCCAATAGGGAAGGGGTCCAGAAAAATTCCAAAGGAAAAAGAACGAGAGAGAGATAGTATTCATTGTAAACTGTGATCTCTACAAAAGAAATATAATATATACAGTGGATGTAGCTCTAATTTTATAAAGTGAACCACTATAAAATTCTCCTTATTCATTTACATATAGTTCATTCAAACACAAAAATACTTAAATCAAACCAGAATCCACACTTTCGTTAAACCCACAAGCTGGTAATCCAAAGGGTAACCCCAAGGTAATCTGGCGGGTTTATTGTTGACGAAATCCAACCATCAGCAATTGGCGACTCCGCTGGGGATCGGAAGCGTTCGACCCCCTAAAGTATAGTTACAAACATCCATCCACCCAAAGAGTAGTGGGATGGAAGGAGATTTACGCCCAGACGGAAATGGAGTCCCACCTCCCAACGCACCACGGCCGGATCCGATGCAGATGCAAGCCCAAATAGCCACTTTGACCGAGTTGGTACGTGGGCTAGTAACCGTGGTTGAACGATTAGACGGAAGGAACTCCATGCCGCCACTAGAGGATGCCCTAAGACCACAGGGACCTGCCATGATGGAAAATCCAAATCACGGTAACCGCTCGCACATCCAAGAAGGGACCGGGGAAAGCGAGGACCATCAGGGCCCTCCTAGGCCTCGACCCTCCCATTCCTCCGGCAGCCGTTTGAGAGCTGCTGGGATCCGAGCCATCGAGGAACTGCCCCAAAATCCCAGAGGAAACCGGCCAGGAGACTCAGGGTTGATGCAGGCGGGCGGTCAGGCCAGAGGTGGGCCCATCGCTCAAAGGGCGGAAGCGCCGGGAGCTGCTGGTTCAGTTGTATCAACAGAAGAAGCACGGACCCTCATGGAACGCATGGCCAACCTGGAAAGAAGACTGATCGGGGACGTCGCAGGGCTGAAAAAGAACATCGGGCGGGTGGCCGAGGTGGTAAACGTCGACATTACGCCCAGTCGTACGCATGACCATCTGTTCACCGCGGAGATAATGGCACCCCCTCTCCCCGATAAATACAGGTCGCCGTCGATTCCACCTTACGATGGACGAGGAGATCCCGACGACCATTTGGAAATGTACACAGGGCACATGCTCTTGCACGGATACGCCGAGGAGATCATGTGCCGAGCCTTTCGGAACCACCTGACAGACTCTGCCCGAAGATGGTTCCGAACGCTAAAGCCAAACTCTATCTCCAGCTGGGATGAACTAAAGGAAGCATTTTCCCTCCAGTTCATCGGGGTTAAAAAATACATACCCCCAAAGCAGAACCTAACGACGATATATCAAAAACTGAATGAGACGTTAAGGGAGTGGCTCGCCAGATACGGCGAGGCCGTCGCCGGTACGATGGATATCACGGACAGAGAAGCCCTGATGGGAGCGTTATCCAGTATGAAGAAGATAACTCCCTTCAAAAGGGAACTAAACTGAAAACCCCCTTCCAGCTACAAAGAGTTCCTTACAAGGGCGCAATGATACATCAATGCTGAAGAAGCGGATGCCAACGACCCCGATCATAGGTCCAATAAAGGTAAAGGAGCCGAGCAGGGGTCGGCGCTATCAAAGCAAGACGGGAAGAAGCGTCGAGGAGGAGAAAGTGGAGACAAACAACCGATCCCGATGCAAGGAGCGCCGGAGGCCAAGAAGCGAAGACAGGAGGATACTCGCAGGCCTCGGCTGTTTCAGAAATACGACACCTACCATGAACTGACGGTAGGCGTCGAGGAGATCTTCAACTAGATCGACCGAGGAAACTTGCTGCGCCGACCTGGACCAATGAAGTCGGATCCTAACCAAAGAAACCAGAAGAAATTCTGTAGGTTCCATGGCGAGGTCGGCCACCACACGAATGATTGTGCTGACCTCAAAGATGAAATCAAAAGAATAATCCGCGAGGGAAGGCTGCAGGAATTCAGGGCTGAACGAAGACCTCGCAACAACGGCCATGGCGGGCAAAATGACGGTCGACGCCGAGAGGAGAACCACCGCCCGGAAGATCGGGAACCAGTCGGCGTCATACGAACGATCCTCGGCGGTCCTTACATAGGAGGAGACACGCGGAGGTCGCAGAAGGACTACGCCCACGAGGCCAAGGGGGTATACCAGGAACGGTTCTGGAACGTCTCCGCCGTAAAAATCCCGAGGCAAAGCCACACTGACGTGGCCTTCAATGAGGATGACGCCAGCGGAGTCCATTTCCCCCCACAACGATGCACTGGTGGTGGAAGCAGTGATCGAAAACCACACCGTGTGTCGAATCTTGGTGGACAATGGAAGTTCGGTGGACCTCTTGTATTCTGACTGCTTGGAGAAAATGGGGATCCACGAGGGACAGTTAGAAAGAACCACCAGGCCACTGTACGGGTTCACGGGAGACTCCATCATTCCTCAAGGTACTATCCGACTACCTATAACCGCCGGAGAAAAACCCCGACAGGCAACAACGATGGCCAACTTTGTGGTCATCAAAGGAGGCTCCCAATACAACGCAGTAATCGGGAGACCAACCTTCCAGGCATTAAAGGCAGTAACCTCCGTCTACCACCAAAAGGTCAAATTCCCCACCCCAAACGGCGTAAGAGAAATTAAGAGCAACCAGTACGAAGCTAGGATTGCATACTCCGATGCCTTACGCGGATATGACCAGCCGGGAAGACAGGAAATGAGGATGGTTCAACAAGGCCTCGTTGAGGATATAGACCCCCGGGTTCAAGAGGAAGTTACTTGGTCTCAGCCCGTCTAACAGTTGGAAGAAATCCAGATTGACGAAAGCGGAACCACCAAAATACTAAAAATAGGTTCGGACTTGACCCCACCGCTCAAAAGCAGGATTGAAAATTTCCTCAGGCAGAACCTAGATGTCTTCGCCTGGAGCCACTCTGACATGGAGGGGATCGACCCCAAAGTAATGAGTCATTCCCTAAACGTCGACCCCACGTATCCTCCCAAACGCCAAAAACGGCGACCAATGAACCCTGAGAGGTACGAAGCGCTGAAGGAAGAGGTCGACAAGTTAGTCAACAATGGATTTATCCGGGAGGCGCATTATCCACGTTGGGTATCTAATCCTGTCTTGGTAATCAAACCCAACGGGAACTGGAGAACGTGCGTCGACTTCAGCGACCTCAACAAAGCATGCCCAAAGGACG